TGGTCTCCAGAGTCCTAGTCCATCACTCAAACCACTACATCACACTGGGTCTCTATCTATCTAGGCTGAATTTAAGCAGTTCCTCTGTGGTCATTATTTGTCCAAAAGGGACTATCAGGACCAACTTAATCCACTTGTTGGTCATTACTCTCTGAGCATTGGTGGCTTCCAGTTCAGTGGGGTGCTGAGTCCATGCCAGGTTTTATTCCAGCATTTAAAGGAGGCATTCAAAGTGCTGTGCCTTTTTATTTTAAAACAACAATAACCCAGGATTCTACACCTTGGAGAAGTTTAAAATTCAGGTTGAAACCTGGAGTGGATTCACTTTTCATTAAAAGTACAGGAGCTCCCTCCATTTTTCATTTTGGCAACTTGTGAAATCCCATGTCCAGTTTTTGGGACCACGATTCAAGGAGGATGTGGGCAAGCTGGAGCTACCAAATGGAGAAAGGTCTAGAAGCCACCAGGTCCTATGAGAAGTGGCTTAGGGAGCTGGCTGGGGTGACCCGAAAGCCCTGTTTAAATATTGGAAGGGATGTCATATGGAAGAAGGAGCAAGCTTGTTTTCTGTAGCTCCAGAGAATAAGACATGGAGCAATGGATTCAAACTAGAGGGAAAAGGATTCCACCTCAAGATTAGGAAGAACCTCCCAAGGGTAAGAGCTGCCTTGGAAATGGTGGATTCTCCGTCTTTGGAGGCTGTTTTAAACAGAGGCTGGATGGGCATCTTTTGGGAATGCTTGGATTTGTGTCTTCCTGCATGTCAGAATTGGACTTGATGACCCCTTAGGGTCTCTTCCAACACTATGATTCTATGAAGATTTGGAAAATGGTTCCGTTCCCCTCCTTGGGCTGAATGGAAACTGGAAGAAATAGGGTCTTCTTAGTGGCTGCCCCAAACTTTGGGACTTTCTCCCTCCCTCCCTTCCTTCCTTCCTGGGGAGGCTAGGGTGGCCCAATCTTTGCTTTCTGCTGGTAAATGCATCCTTTTCTATTCCAACAGGCTTTTAGGAACTGACTGCATGTGGAGAGAGATGCGTAGTGTGACTTCGGCATCTGTTATGTCGCAAACAGAACTGACTGTGATGAGCTTTGGATAGCATGCTCTTTTTGTCGATTTTTATCTTCTATCTTTTAAAACAGTTTTAATTCCATATAAGATCATTTAATTGCATTTTAAAATAACTTTCGTGTAATTTTAACTGACCTTTTTAATATGTGCAGGTTGCTATATCTTCTAAGCCACCTCAAAGCCCAGTTTGGTGAAGAAGGTGGGATATAAACCAAGGCAATAAAAATAAATATTTCAGAATCTGAGGGTGCTGACAAAACTTCAGATTTAATGTAGTTTGACACTGCTTTAACTGACATGGCTCCATAGAAATCTGGGATCTGTAGTTTGTTATGAAGCTTGGTGTAGTGGTTTGAGCGTTGGACTAAGACATTGGGAGACCAGGGTTCAAATCCTTGCTTGGGCATAAAAAACTCACTGGGTGACCTAGGGCAAGTCACACCCTCTCAGCCTCAGAGGAGAGCAATGGCAAACCCCTCTGAAGAAACTTTACCAAGAAAACCCTATGATAGGGTCACTTTAGAGTTGCCATAAGTCGGAAACTTGAAGGCACACAGCAACAACACGTGGCTCTCTAAGAGAGGCCAAGTATCTCACAAAAGTATCTTACAAAAACTACAGATCCCAGAATTCCATAGTATTGAGCCATGGCAGTTAAAGCACCATCAAACTGCATTAACTCTGCAATGCAGATGCAGCCTTTGTCAAATTTAGCATCCAGAAAGCATTCGATTACAGTTGCAATCCAATGCAGTGCAAATATCCACACACTGAGATATGCTGCACAAGCACTACACAACCTGTTCACAAAATGGAAACGCTATACGACATATGCCAATGCACAGTTAACAACAGGCAATGTCCAATGCACAGTGTGTTGTGTGCACTGCACAAGAGCAATGCTCAGGGTGCAACAGCAATCATAGCATCACAGAGTTGGAAGAGACCAGCAATGCACAAGGTTGCTGCATGTGCAGCAGAACTGGTCCATTGCTCTGGGGCATATGTGTCCCATATGTGTCGTGCGACTTATGCATGCGCTGTATCCCTAACAAGATGCCACCAAATGTATGATAGCTGAACATACATTCCCATTACACACCTACATGCCTCTTCGTTGCACACCTCTGCTTGCAGGAAGAGAAGCAAAGCAAAGTCCTTCCAGCCAGAACTCTCCTCCACCTTCTGTCACAGCCACAGTGATGCACCCCTCTGGGAAAGTCTAGCCACAACCAGCCTTGCAACCATGCCAGGTATGGCTGGCTCCATTTCCCAGCATGCCCTGGGAAAGTCCGAGACCCTCCCTCTGTCCTTGGTGACCACAAAGTGACCAAGGCTGGGGTGGTGGTGCTGGTCTCTGGGTTCTTCTCCTGTGCGTCAGACCCACATCCCACCCCCACAGTCCTCTCCCCACATG